TCCCTACATTTTCTTCTAAGATTCTTATATTTCCCAAAAAACTGGAAATTATAATTTCCCAACAAACTAGAAATTATATTTTGGAGGGTGGGCCCCTTGTAGTACAAACTTCCCCTGCTAGGTAAGTGTTCTAGGAACCCATCAGGTTTGGGGGATTTTTTGGTATTATTTCTTTTTTTATTTTTTTTATTTTTTATTTTTATTTTTTTTGAGTTGGAGTTTCACTCTGTCGCCCAGACTGGAGCTCAGTGGCCACTCCCGGCCACCGCAGCCTCGATCTGCTGGGCTCTGGCGATCCTTCCGCCTCAGCCTTCCGAGTAGCTGGAATTACAGGCATGCGCTACCACGCCCAGCTGATTTTTTGATTTATTGTAGAGATGAGGTGTCACCGCCCAGGTGGGTCTCGAACCCGCGGGCTCAGGCAATCCACTCACCTCAGCCTCCCAAAGGCGCGGGATTACAGGCTGAGCCACCGAGCCCGGCTTCTTTTTTTATTTTAAAGATATGGGGTACATTTCAAGGTTAGTTACATAAGTGGTCATCAGACAGGTGAAGTTTGGTCCTCACTTCACCTGGTTTGGGATCTGATACCCTTATTAGTGTTATGTGCCCCTCCGCTGGTAGTGACCCACTACTTCCAATCCCTTTCATGTAGTATTATGATAAGTGTTCGGTTTTTATCTGGAAATTTTTAGAAGGTTGGGTCACAATTTGTGGAAATGTCCTGAGTTGTGGCAGACAGGTGACTGGATCTTCCACCATGACAAGGTACTTGCCCACACTGCACTGTGTTCAGCAGTTTTTGTCCAAAAATGGCATGACTTTCATGCCCCCCCTCCCCATTCACCCAATCTCACCCCAAGCGACTTTTTTTTTGTTTCAAATGGAAACGTTCTGCCAATGTGGAAGAGGAAGAGCAAAAACAGCTGAAGCACTAAAGAGTGCCAAAATCGGCAAGTTCAAAAACTGTTTTGAGCAGTGGAAAAAGCACCTCAATAGATATATTGCATCAAACAGAGAATACTCTGAAGGTGACTAAAGTTTAAACATGCAAGAATACATATACAATTTTTAATAAATAAATTCCAGGTTTTTCTTGTGTGCCCCCATGAGCCCAAGAGTTCTTGATCCATTTTGAGTTGGTGTCTGTATATGGTGATAGGTAGGGGTCCATTTTTTAAATTCTGCTTGTGGCTTGCCAGTTTTCCCAGCACCATTTGCTAAATATGGTTTCCTTCCCCATTGTTTGTTATGGATGGCTTTGTTGAAAACAAGTTGGCTGAGGGACCGTGTTTTTATTTCTGGATTCTCTGTCATGTTCTGTTGGTATATGTGCCTATTCCTGTTGGTTACTGTAGACTTGTAATCAAGTTTAAAGTCTGGAAGTGTGATGCCTCCAGCTGTGTTCCTTTTACTGAGGATTGCTTTAGCTATTTGTGCTCTTTTTTGCTTCCATATGAACCTGTATTGTTCTGTCTTTTCTAGGTCTGTGAAAAATTGTGTTGACAATTTGATAGGGATTGCACTGATTTTGCAGACTTCCCTGGTAGGACGGGCATTTTGACAATATTGATTCTTCCAGTCCATAAGCATGGGACATTTTCCCATTTGTATCATCCTTGATTTCCTTGAGCAGTGTTTTGTCGTCCTCATTGTAAAGGTCTTTCACTTCTCTGGTTAAGTGGATGCCAAGGTATTTCAGTGTGTGTGTGTGTGTGTGTGTGTGTGTGTGTGTGTGTGTGTGTGTGTGTGTGTGTGTGTCTATTGTGAATAAAATTGGTGTTTTTCTTTGGTTCTCAGCCTTCTTGTTGTTGGTGGATACAAATGCAACTGTCTTTTGCATGTTGGTTTTGTATTCCAAGACCTTACCAAAGTTGTTTATCAGCATGAGGAAGTTTTTGGCAGACTATCTAGGATTTTCTGGGTGTGGAATCATATCGTCCACAAAAAGGGATAACGTAACTTCTTCTTTTCCTATTTGGATACCCCTTATTTTCTTCTCATGCCTGATTGCTCTAAGACTTCCATTACTGTGTTGAATAGGAGGGTGAGAGTGGGCATCCTTGTCTTGTTCCAGTTCTTACGGGGAATTCTTCCGGCTTCTGCCCATTACGCATGATATTGGCTGCTGGTTTGTCATAGATGATTCTTATTGTTTTGAGGAATGCTTATCTGATGCCTAAGTGTTCAAGAGTTTTTATTAAGAAGGCATGTTGGATTTTATCAAATGCTTTTCTGCATAAAACCATCATGTGGTTCTTGGTTTTATACCTTTTAATGTGCTGAGTTACATTTATAGACTTGCTAATGTTAAACCAGCCCTGCATCTTGGGAATGAAGCCCGCCTGGTCATGATGGATGATCCTTGAAATGTGTCGTTGGATACAATTTGCCAGAATCTTGTTGAGAATTTTTGCATCTGTGTTCATCAGGGAAATTGGCCTGTAATTCTCTTTCCTTGTTGGAAAGAGAATCTTGCCAGTGTGGGGTATTAGGATGATATTAGCATCATAAAATGCAGCTCAATGAATTTCCATGTACTGAACATACCAGACCAAGAAACAGCATGAGACTAGCAGCCCAGAGACCCCTCCATGGCCCTTTTCAGTAGGCTCTGGAACTCATTCCTGGTTGTAGACCACGGTTAGCTGTCAAAGGGTGCTCTAGGCTGGGCACAGTGCCTCATGCTCATAATCCCAGCACTTTGGGAGGCCGAGGCAGGAGGATTGCTTGAGCCCAGAAATTCAAGACCAGCCTGGGCATCATAGTGAGACCTCGCCTCTACAAAAAAATCAAAAATTAGCCAGGCATGTTAGCACATGCCTGTGGTCCCAGCTACTCAGGGAGCTGAGGTGGGAGGATCACCTGAGCATAGGAGGTCAAGACTGTGGTGAGCCATGAGCATACTATTGCACTCCAGCCTGGGCCACAAAGTGAGACCCTGAACTAAAAAAAAAAAAAAAAAAAAAAAAGTGGTGGGGTGGGGGGGATCCTCAGTCTTGGTGACTCTTTCAGGAGAATCTGTGTGCATGCCCTGGAGAGAGAAATTCGGAAAATTCTTCCAATCTGTAGACTCAGTGCCTCCCGTGTGACCTGTCATCTGGTATAATCCATTCTTAGTGTCTAAGAAAGTTCTGTTCTAGAAAGTTGCTGCAAAGGCTGTCTTAGGAAGTACTAAGCCATCACTTCTAGGGGAATACAAGGTTAGGTTCCTGTGAGCCTCTGGTCACAGCATCAGTGGATCAACACATAACCTTGTTTTATGTGTGCTTCTGTTTAAGGATACCTTATTTAACATATTGACATTGAACACATAACCAATAGCAGTATACCTCATACCTGAACGAAGCATATCTAACACATGCATTATCTCCATAAGGCACATTACAGCCTCCTTGAGCTGAGAAACACTAGATCAACACTTCAGCACTATGCTTGGGGGCCATTTTTTTTTTGAGTCGGAGTCTCACTCTGTCACCCAGCCTGGAGTGCAGTGACTTGCTCCCGGCCACCACAGCCTCGACCTGCTGGGCTCC